CCTTGCTGTCGTCCTCGTCGCTGTCATCGCGGTCGGGGCACTCGAAGGAGAGGTGGTCGGGGTCGCCACAGATCCAGCACTCCCGCCGTCGACCACCACCTCGTCGACCCTTGTCCCGCGTTGACCTCTTCTCGTCGACGTCCTTCGTCGACAGCCCACCTCTGCTACCACCTCCCCCCGGCTTCCCGCGCTGCCCTTGCTGCTGATTCAGCTTCGTCGGTGCAGCGTAGCTTGCCTACGGAAGGAGCTCTGTGGGCTGTTCGGCCTCCTGCATCGCCTCATCTTGAAGGATGTAGCTGGTGATGGAGTCCTCGTCGAGGGACTCACGCGTGCCGGGCACCATCATCATCCTCTTCATGAGATTGTAGCCGCGCGGCAGGCCCTTGACGATGTTGGTGATGTAGGACGCCGTCGAGTATTCGGCGCCCGCCATCCGCATGTCAGCCAGGATCCGTCGAGCACGGTTGCAGTAGTCCGTCGCCGACTCCTGCTCACCCATCCGAACGTGTGTCATCTTCTCCTATAGCTGTCCGATGTACAGGTCGTCCCTGACCTGGTACGTCGACAGGATGAAGTGCCATGCCTGGTGACCAGCATCTAGTCGCTCACGACAGCTCCTGAGCGCTAGCTGCACCACCTGCGAGCAGCACCTCGAGATGACCATGAAGGTGAGCAGGTGAGCCGCACGAAACTCCCCGCGCAGCTCGACATCGTCCACGGGCGGAATTGGCACGGTGCCGTCGGCGAAGCCCTTCAGCCCAGCGACCTCCAGCTGAGGTTCTATCGACTCCCTCCAGGTGATGAGGTCCCGTCGACCTTGCAGCGGGGCGACGGTGATCCAGTCTCGCGAGAACTTAAAGTAGCCATACGCCGGTGCAATCCCGCCCGCCGTCACATGCGTCGTCGCCGAGAGCCCTCCGCCGCTTCATAGAGGAGAGCGACGTCAAACATCGACGTCGGCACGCGAGCTGCCTGTAGCGGCCGTCGACCGCTGCACTCGCGCCTGGATTCCGTCGACAGCACCGTCGACCTTGATCACCCCTCTCTGCCTCGTGCCTTCACTGCCGCTGACTCGTGCACCACCGTCGACCTCGTCGTCGACGCCACCTTTGTTGCGCACCGGTCGAGGAGATGCAGGACGGGAAGGGTGTTCCGTCGCCCACTGCGACCGGATGCCCAACTCGGCGATCACCAAGGGGATCGTCCCGTACTCGCCATCCGCGTGGCGTCTCCTCACGTTAGCCAAACGTGTCTCCAAGGTGTTCGCTACACCCGCATCAACTACGGGGTCGACCGTGGTGACTTTCGCTGCTGCCGGCCTACGAACGACTTAGTAGGTGCAAAAGTCCGCTCCTATCTGAAGGTAATCTGCGGGGCCGTCCACGCTCACCGCACCATGCAAAGAGTCACTCTACAATGGTAGTGAGCTAGACTACGGGGGTTGGCACGAACTATTAGGAGTGATCGTAGCTTTGCTTGGTTCCTTAGTGCTTGCACATTCACGAGAGAAATCGGCAAGAGTTTCCACTGGGCAAAGTCGAAATTTCAGAATGATTGAACAAGCAATGAAAACAATGACTACATCAGGCACCTAGCAACCCTGCAGCTAGCCTGGTCGACCGCCAGCACAGCTCGGTCGACCGCCTGCCAGCGTTTCGTAGAGGAGCCGCGCCGGCACTGCAGAAGGGCGACCTGCCAACAGAGCAGGTCGACGGCGTGCCAATGCTGCAGCTGAGCGGCTGTCCAGCGTTGCCCCGTAGAACACAGCAGTGCGCACGCTCACAGGTGCGCGTAGACGATTGGCCCGACTTGCCTCGTTGGGCATCCGTCGGCTGTTGTCTGCACCTGACGAGCCACATCGACTTCGGGATACCAGCCCGCAGTTGCCTGCGCCATCGCGGCCTCGACGACGTTCGCGTGCCTCCGCGGAACTCGTCAAGCAGGTTACCCGGACGACCTGGTCGACCCCAGGTGCTCTGGTCGACCCCCAGGTGCCTCCGGTCGACCACCGGGTCCCTCTGGTCGACCTCCAGGTGCCTCTGGTCGACCACAACTCCCGTCGAGCTACCCCCTGGTCGACGGACCCCTTCCGTCGACCAGAACCGTCAGCGGTTGTCGCCGAGCTTCCCTCGCCGACCGCTGCTCACTTGTCAGGTCGACGGACTGCTCCGTCGACCTCCCGGTCGAGCTGTAGGTCGACGGAGACCTCCCGGTCGAGCTATAGGGCGACGGAGACCTCCCGGTCGAGCTGTAGGTCGACGGAGACCTCCCGGTCGAACTGCCCTCCTGGTCGACGTCCCACCCGTCGCCAAGACCAGTCAGTTGGAGCTGTCGAGCTCCCTGGTCGACAGCAACACCATAGTGGTCCCCTGCAGCTCGACGAAGCCTGTCGAGCAGCTCTCCCACTGTGAACGGTCGGTTGCTACTCCCGTACATCCGACCAAGTTGTCGGCGTTGCCCAAGCGAGGGCAGGGCCAACACTCCAATCCCGTTAACACAGTGCACATGTTCGCAAAAGGACAGGGCGAATCATCGCCCTGCCCTCGAGCAGGACAGCGCACGTTCGTACGCTGTGCAGCACGACCGAAAATTCGGTCGTGCATGATCACGCGCGTGCAAGGGTGCGCGTGGGTTTCGGGGGGTGCCGAGTAATCCCGAAGGGTGCTCGGGATTGACTCGAGATTTCAGTTGAATAACTGAATCTCGAGCTTTGGCTGTTATGACGTGGCGAACAGAATACTTCGTCAGAAAGTCATGCTACATTGCGTGATCATTTCGACAAGGTACAAAACGGTTATTTCCGTTTTACAACGGGAAAACGGTTTTCCCACACGAGGCTTCATGAATGTTAACAGGAATTCATGAGTACTCGCGAGGGGAGTCAGCACGGGCGTTTGGATCAAGTACAACTCAAATTCAGTTATTCTAATGAAGCGTATCAAGCCAACTGCAGCTCAAGTTTGACAACCGTTTTACCAAGACAACATGGCGAAGTCCTCTATTTCAGTTTTATAACTGTTTCATGTTTGCCTTGTGTTTTCTTTAGTTCGTGCTTAGTGCTTTCTATAAATGTGTGCTTGTGTCTGATTGTAATCACAACTTTGACGAGTGAAAATATTCTCTATCGACGTATTGACGCGAGGAGAATTTTTGCACACGTTCCAATCAACCGTTAACGCTTCCGCGTATGAGTTTGGGAGTGCTCTAGTGCACACGATGGTTTTCATACTTAGGGAATCCCTCTACAAACACGAACCCTTGGGCACCCAAGGACCCTTGGAGGTGAACCCGTGGGGACTACCTAGTGTGATTTAAAGGTGTGATAAGAGCTTCTAGGTCCCATATAGTGGTCAACACTTTCTTCGGGCAGTCGTCACGCCGCCTCTCCTCGCCGTCGGTTTTTCTGACGCAAATCACACATTGCGCCTGGCTGCTCGACGAGCAGTCATTTCCATGTGCTGCTACCCGAAATCTTCGCGCACAGTGACGTCGCATGTCACTTGCCGAAGATGTCGAACGGCCTCATGCGCAACGTGACGAAGACGCCTCAACGCCACTTGCTGCATGAAGTCGCTTCCAAAAATTTCGTGCGTAGTTGACGAACACGTGGTGACGTCAACTCGCACTACGGTCGCTTCCGACAATCTCGGACGTGCGCCGACGTCAGCCGCTACACAGTAATAACTCCGAAATTGACGAAAACGACCACTGTTAAAACTCACGCATTAAATGCGACGACAGCAAAAGCTGTCCGCCAGGAAAGGGAGGCCACGATCGATCTTGACCGTCGAGGGCAAGGATCCGGCGGTGCACAGGAGCGCCTTGAAAATTCATGGCCGCTAGGAGCAACTACCCATTCTCCTGGCCGGCTAACGCGCTGCTCCTGGACCCCACGGCATCCTTCCCTATCCCCCCCCCCCCCCCTCGAGGGGTAATACACTCTAAAAAACGATGAGGCTAGGAAAGTAGCTCTGATACCAAGTGTGATCTAACTGCTATCTTCGTCCTATCTTTGTGAAACAGGTTTATTTTTGCGCATTCGTGTAACCGTATGTTCGTGCATCTTAAGGTACTCTAACCCATCACTGACAATACCTCGTTTTTCGTTATCTCTTGAAGTATCTCATTTGACGCTTTAACTCGTGGTTGTTTTTGTTGCTGTGATTGCTGTGATGATATTTCGTTGACAAGATCAGCCTTCATAGTAGCTGGGTAAACAAACTAGCTGGGTGTGGGGCAGGGTAGCGTCTAACCTATTACAGGAGTGCTAGTTGGAGTCTAATTGAACTTCCAAGCTTGTATTGTTAGTCGTTTATATAAATTATATTGCATTCTGCCTATCATTGAGATTTGAATTAGTATACATTTTTAACTGACTGGAGAAAGCATTGTTCTTATATTTACAGTCCAATCGTATATATTGCTGAACTTGGCCTGTGAGGTAACCCAAATGTGGTTACCAGGATACCCCACGATTGTTATTACATTTATTAAAGTAAAAGTGTAGTTCTGTCAGGTAACCAAATCAGGTTATCGGGTGGTAACAGTAGCGCTCTGCACATTTCCAGTGGAGAAGGTTGACGATGGTAAACGGTCGTTCGCAGACGTTCAACCCCACCATCCCACCATAAATGGAGGGCAGTGTGAATCGCGGTTGACCCCTCATCTCATTTACCACTGAACCTTCCCCACTCGCGAACTAATCGTATACTACCGCCCAAACCCAATCAACCCCAGCTTACTCTCCGACACTGTAGCTGAACAATTGGGCGTATATGCTGGTTCGGACATCCCCCCGTTTTCCATACACAAAGGACAATACCCTGGGTGGTTTATTGCCCTCGGTATCAATCACGGTTCGCACAACACAAACCACACACAAGAAGGCGTTTACGATCCAAAACGCCTTCTACATATTTCTGATGGAGGTGGCGGAAAGGAGCGGGGGAGCGGCGCGAAGCGAGCGATAGTGACGCCGTGGGGACCGCTGGTGGAGGAGGCTATGTTGCCGTGTGAGAGAGAGGGGGGAGCGCGGGGAAGGGGAGAGGGGAGGGAGAGGGGGAGGGGGAGTGGTAGGGGGAAGGGGAACTCGGTGAGAGGAGCAGGATGGGGAAGGTCGGGGGGAGGGCACGGGACGAGAAACGGCGGATTCAGTGTGATTCTAAGTAGAGGTGACTCAATTGAAGAGCGTGTGGCGAGGCTGGGAGGGCCATCAAGCACAGCAGCAGGCGGCGAGCCTATGCCCCCATCAACAGCCGTGGCACGAGAGTCAGCATGAGGGGAACACATGGGGCCTGAGCCGTTCCGACTAGCACCATCCGCGTTATCGTCACGATCCTCCTCCTCCTCCTCCTCCTCCTCCTCCCCCTCCTCCTCCTCCTCCTCCTCCTCCTCCTCCTCCTCCTCCTCCTCCTCCTCCTCCTCCTCCTCCTCTGCCTCCTCCGCCTGCTCCTCCCCGCCCAGGCTGTTCTCGTTATGCACTGATTCGATAGTGGCAAACATCCACCATGTTTCGTCGCTGCAGGGCCTTCCTGAAGACATTGTGCTGCTGCTGCTGCTGTGGGTGAGTGGGGGTGCTGCTGAGGGATAAGCACGGGTGCTGAGGGGTAAGCGCGGGTCTGAGGGGTAAGCGCGGGTGCTGAGGGGTAAGCGCGGGTGCTGAGGGGTAAGCGCCGGTGCTGAGGGGTAAGCGCGGGTGCTGGTGCTGAGGGTGGCTTCTGGCGTTGCTGGGTGGGCGGTGCTCCCTGCACCATGCACGATGCCACCACACCTCCATTCCCCTCTCCATTTCTCCTTCGACCCCCATTTCCCTCCGCGTTCCTTTCCCCTTGAGTCACCCGCTCCCCCTCAATACCCTCCTCCCTCCCTTTTTCCCTCTCTCCTCCCTCCACACCCAACCAGTCAACACGCCAGAGGGGTGCGCTGATAGGGCGAGTGCTCAAAGTGTTATGGGCTGCCTCTGAGTTGACTCAAGAGTCACCGATTCCTCTCTTCCCCTCCTCTTCCCCCCCCCCCACCTTTTCTCACACGCAATTAGCGGACGCTGCAAAGGGGTGGCCTGACAGAGCGAGTGCTGTGGTGGGTGTTCCGGGCGACACAACACGCACTGGTGGAGGAGGTGGTGGTGCTGCTGAGCGTCACCCACCACCTCCCTGAAATGAGTGAATTTTTAAGACGTCTAAAAAAATCACTCATTTTACGTGGCCACCACTCCCCTGAGCGACTTCCCCCCTTTCCCCTCCCTCATCGGCGCACACTACAGAGAGGAGCACTGACAGAGCGGGTGCTGCAGGTGTTCCGGGCGACACAGCACCCACCGGCGGAGGAGGCGGTGGTGCTTCTGGGCCTCACCCACTACTCCACTGCCAAATCCCCCCCCCCCCCCCCCCCCCCTTCTTCCAGCGCACGCTACAGAGAGGAGCTTTGACAGAGCGGGTGCTGAAAGTGTTCCGGGCGACACAGCACGCACTGGTGGAAGAGGCGGTGGTGCTGCTGGGCCTTACTGATCACCCTCCATTGCAACCCTCTTTCAACCCACTCCTCCTCGGCCCTCTCAGCGCACACTCCAGAGGGGAGCACTGACGGAGCGGGTGCTTGGAGTGTTCTGGGCGACACAGCACGCACTGGTGGAGGAGGCGGTGGTGCTGCTGGGACTCACCCACCACTCGCCTGCGCCCGTCCTCCCCACTTGTACGTGCACCTTCACTCACTGTGCTCCCACGGTGCTCCCGCGGTGCTCCCACGGTGCTCCCACCATGCACCATAATAGCTGCTATTTTGCCTTTCGCATTCTCCCTGCTGCTGGCCCACCCACTACTCCCCTGCGTCCATCCCCCCCACTCGTACGCTCTGACCGTGCCCTCACTGTGCACCATAATAGCTGCTATCGTGCTATTTACATTCTCTCTTCCTTACCCCCCCCTTGTTACTGCATTCCGCCACACTCTGCATGTGCCTCGGCCCCTTGCCTTCCTCCCCTCCACCTCTCCTTCCTGTCCTTTCCACCTCTTCCCCCCCTTACCCAACCCCCCTTTTTCCTCCTGTGCTCCCCCCTCTCTCCCCACACTGCAGGCTGCACTGACAGTTCTCTCCGCTGACACCCCGAAGCCACTTATATCTCCAGTGTGTACACACACACATCTCTTCACCCCTGAAGCACACGTGTAGCTTCAACCGCAGACGGGAATCTCAGGTTTCTTGGTATTCCGTCGCCTTGCACATGCCCCACTGCACGTACCGCCAACACAACCTGGCAGTGGAGTGGGGTAATTGGGTTGGGACATTGAGGCCGTGGCCAGGTTGTACATTCAACGTACTTCCTTGCTCGAAAGGAAGCTGGGCATTCAAAGCTTCGTTGCTCTGGGCGGTTCCACTTCCGCAAGGTGGAGAGCATATTATTTTTCTTTTCGGTAGTTCACCGTTATGCACCGTGACAGTTCTGACGCAGAATTTAGAGTGTTCAGACAACGTACCGGTACAACTTGACCACGCCCCGAGACTAAGCAGGGTAGAGTGCTGTGGAAGTAAAATTGCTCGCAACTGATGGGTGCTGCTGGTTAGCAGCGGTGCTCTAGTTGCTCTCTGTTAATGCCCCCTTGGTGTCATGCTAGCATGCTCTCTGAGAAGAAATTTGTTCGATGACATAGCAAGCTTGTATCATACGGTACGGTAACAACAACTCCACCAGTACCGTATTGTCGAGATAGCGTTAGAACCTAGGAAGCAACGTGAGGGTGTTGAGAGGAGCGAGAGGAAAGAGGGTTCTATAAAGAGAAAGGGTATAATGATATAGGCAAGGGTTGGGGGTGCACCACTAACAGAAAGTATAACAACAAACTACAGCTATAGCTACATGCACTTATATATATATATATATGTATATATATATATAATGTATATCACGACACGTAGACCCTATCAGAATCGTATCTGGTGTGCGGACCACCACACCACGTGCCAGTTCCTGGATTGTATGACTTGAAGTTTGTGCTCCCTTTGCTGAGACTCCTTTCTACCGTAAGCGTGTAGCAGGACCACAAAGAGAGTACAGTGCTGTAGTACTTCAGAGCAGCAACGGAATGCAACAAACAAAATCATTTCCTCAAAACATCTTATACGGTACCATAACCATAACTATCAGTGGTCCTCCCCTGGACCACACGAACCCACAAACAACATGCACAGCATTTTCTTCCACATCAACCGCCCCTCCCCTTTGTTGAAAACATATAGTTCGCGCTTCTGACATGTCAAGCGCTATAACAAGAACGAAGCAGATCCACAACGAAGCAACACCGAGTCAACCAAGCTACAGCGAAGCAGTGCCCTAGATATCAAACTTTTTAGTCTGATGCAGAGTCCGTTCAGACCTTTTTTATGTACCTTGTCTGATTTTTCAGAGGGTTTTTTTATGAGTTGTCTGAAATTTTAGCCTAATTTTATTAGTGTAGGCTGAGCCTCAAACTTGTATCGGGAGTACACTCTGCGTGCTTATCAGAGCGAAGTTTCCTGGAAGTTTCCTTTCGATATGCCCACTTTCGAGATGGCAGTGGAGTGCCAGGATGTGAGCAACGCACACTTCAACCGCTGGGACATCCGAATACACTCGTTCGTCGAGAATATCTCCCTGTTACGCTAAGAGAATGGTTGCGTGATTATGAGATTTCTAAGACAAAATCTCGTCACATGTAAGTTATCGCTAATGTGTTGTAAAGAATAGGTGACTTTGATGCTGATTCATTGTAAAAACATAAGCAGCACTCACTGCTGTGAAATTGCAAAGCTCCTGATTCGTAATGAAAGTATCGTGCGGCACTGCCAGATGCTCACACGCCACGCCAAGCAACAGTTTCTGTCTGCTGCCAGCTCAGCTGCGTGGCACTTGGCCCACCTGGTACGTGACAACAACCAGATCGGGTGAACGATCGCATCGCTAGAAACGCAAATCCAAAATTGACAAAAACGTCACACAGACGAGAAAATGGGTACAGAACGGTAATCACACACACGACGAAACAAAATGCGATCAGCAGAAACAATTATGCGTTGCACGTGACAAAAACACTGGAACGCCGCCGACATAAGCAGAGGCGATGCACGAGCACGTTGCCTGATGCAGACCCGCCGACCCTGACTGGTCAGACCTCCTGACTTCAGAACTCTGACCAATCGGACTAACGATTATATGGCAGAAGTGCCTTCATACTAAATCCGGGACAAAATTTTCCCCATCAGAGAGCGTAGACTAAAATTGAAGCGTCAGCCCTGGCGGGAAACCAAATTTCCTCGAGCGCGGCACCGCACAGTTGCGTTGGTAGGCTGTAATCAGCTTCAATGCTATTATAATTATGCTTTTACGAAACTGCATGATCATCTTCAATTTTGAAGGTAACTCTGGTAGTTCAGACAAAAAAAAGTTGTGCTTGTCTGAATTTTCAGACTAAAATTTTGAGGCACCTCTGACAGACAGAGTTCCAAGAGGGGTGTATACTGATCGATGAGAGTGCCTCAAAACGAATCTAGGGGCCTGCAGCGAAGCGGTTGACAAAAGCGACAACAGCAAGAAGTTGAAGCGAAGGTCAAAGGTCAGCGACCTTTTAACTCGTCGAAAACAGCACGGCAGCAAGGACAAATGACTAACTCGCTATTGAGCAGTTACCCGAGTCGTCGCTGTATCGAACCGCATTAGCAATTACAATTGCAGTTAGTAAAACCTTTCATATTCCCTGTAATCATATAAAGGCCCTATATCTCTATGTTATAATCAACTAATCTTGTTCTCACATACCAGTGCAAGGTGGTTCAACCAGTTTCATTAAGACATTATCACTCTGAGCCTTAGTCATTGAAACGATCCTAAGGGCTTTCTCAGCCCAACATGGTATGAGAGCTAGCAAAGACAAGGCTCAAATATTCTCACTTTCTACAACTCACACGACAAAAGACATTGCAACACCGAAGGAAAGGAGCTCGTCCACTGGATCTCCTAGCACTTCTCCTACTCCACCTCCGGTCTCTGGACTACAGACAGAAGAATGCACTGCCCAAGGACCAGCTGCAGAATGTACTAAAGCACCTGTGAATCCTGCAACTGGCTTCGACCTAAGCATGATGGAGAGGTTCTTCTCCTTCATGTCGTTCTACGAGCAACAACAAGTGGCACCTGCGCAGTCAAACAACAGCGACAACAACAGCGGAGTTACTCCCATGAGCCTTGATGGCTCCTCCTTTGCGCGCGGAAATCAGCAACCTACCTTCGCACCATATGAGCCTCAACGCGGCTCTATCAGCTTCATGCCGAATCGACTTCCACCTGGGCAAGAGACGAAGACATTGGATGCACTCCAGTTGCAGTCACAATTCGCACACGTGCTAAAACTGCAAACGACAACACCATTCGACGGGAAGGACTTCTATACCTGGTCCTTTGAATTCGAGCTAATGATGGAAGGAGCTCAAATCCTCGGTTCTCTTCGACGGTTCCCTGCCATACCCAATGCACGGGACACAGTACGACAAACAACAGTACACGTATCAGTCACTGACGGCGTACACCATTCTCCTGCGAAACATCTTGGCAAGTGAGCAGCAGAACATTCGAACTTATCGCGGATACAGTAACCCCGCCGAGCTCACCTACAACCATCTGAATCAAGCAAACGACAGCGTAAATCAGAGTCGTCTCATGGCACAATTGACAACAGTCCAAATGCAACCCGGCAAAAAGGGAATGGCCTATATCAGTCGCTGTCGCGGTCTACGCGACAGAATCCTTCGGTGCGGCGGGGCACTGTCCGAGGACGCCTT